CACGAATCGTCGGAAAAAGCTCCAACAAAACCAACTAATTAATGCATCTAATGGGCTGTGTATGGGATCGGGAAGTTAACTATAGATTCATTATATTCTCCGCTCGACCGTATTTTCTTCTCATCGATAGAATAGTCTAAATACGGAATCTCTGAAAACAAGAACGAACATTTGTCGAACTTAAATTGCAAATGAGCTAACAAAAAAACTTCTTCCAAAAATTTTCAAATGCTCTTCGATACTCTCAGTGATTAATCATGATTTTGCTGTGTTCTTGAAAGTTTACACACAGTTGAATTTCATCGGTATTCTTGCGTACTAGCAAGATGGAATTACTTAAAGCGAATTACTCGGTCTAATTATCCAGTCCCATAAATAAATCATTCAAGGTTACTCTCAATACTTCCTTCTCCGCGAACGATAAACGTCTTAAAATAATAAACGAATTATAACGAAAAATAATAAACTGTTTATACTTTAGGTTAATTTCTATTTTAAAATTGTGCGTACTCGAATCGATTATTGATCTTCTAATTTCGCTAAGCTCGGTAGCTATTCGAGATTCGATCTTCGGGTCAATATGAAGCATGTCCAATACACACGTCGAATTGTACCTTACATCGATAAGCATCAGCTGATCGTGAAAATCGTCGTGCTTTGGTTGGCCGTAATTCGCAATCACGACTAACTACTTCGTCTTAATAACGTTGCGTACGCTATCGTGTTGCCGGGAACAATGAGGAAACTGACATTGACCAGAACGTGACTAATACAGATCAATCTTGTAAACAAACATAAAATAACTAGTTTCAATCTATTAATCCGCACAAATTATAATCATTCGGAGAAATCGAAGATGATCGCGTGTTTATCGGAACATAATAACTTTTTATGAAGCTTATTAAGCAATGTTTATAATTGCGGATATTACGAAATAACAGATATTATCATACGTGTTCGAAAAAGAATACATTATGGGAAGCACATATGTAGGTACGCGTTAATTAACGCTAATTGGACTATATTCGACCTGTTTTTAAGCTCTGATAGTTTCTTCTTTGGACAAGTATTAATCCAATGGACAACCATAACTGTTTTCCGTCAATAAAGTGAGTGATCGAAGTTTGTATCGATCCACATTATATAGCTCACGAGGGACTGGCCGATGTAATGGGATCAGTAAGAGAATCGTTCAGTTATACGCTAGCCGAATTTATAGCATTTCTTGAGTTTCAATTCGAGCACGAGCGAAGTTAGACTTGATAAACCGATTATTGAAGGAGGGACCGACGTATACGGGATTGTGTATCGGACTTGTTGAATCAAGTATATATGAGAAATGAGTGGTCCTGAGATGTACAAGATGTCAGATGAGAAGAACTCGGGAGAGAACGTTCGTGAGTGAAGCCGGTGCTTAGAAGGGAGAAGCTTTTACTGGAATGAGAAATGAGAATTTGTTAAGATTTTAATTCCGAGAAAAATCGAATAATTATATTATATTTATAAATAATAACTAAGTCAGTTAATAAAAGACAAAATACCTCTTCGAGCGTTAGTATCAACAATAACATTGGCAACCTTTTAAGTGACTTTCAAGATGACGACGATTTGTTTATAAAATGGAGACGACAAGTTGAATTACTTCAATGCACATACGATTTAAATAAGAATTTTATGAAAGTCTTGATTGGCTTTAAATTAGAAAGACGATGCTTTCAAGTGATTAAACTCGAAGCCGGATTATTTAAATCTCCCGATATATGAATTATTGAACAAAATAACCAATATATTTGATCATCGGCCAAGCAGATTCGAGTTTGAAGAAAGGTTGTGACAATTTAACGAACAATTTGCTGATTATTATCACGATAAGATCATTTTAACGAATCGAGCCCCGACTGATAAAAGTGAAATCGTGATTTATCTGATCGACGGCCTTCGAGATCAAGCTCGTGTACAGAAGTTCCGGACAAAGTGTTTCATACGCGTGGGACGGCTATAATTTACACAAGCTTATACATCGATACAATGGGCGCATAATGGACACAGTATTCTCTTGTTGCACTTATAGTTCATATTTTGTCCATACCTATCATTGAGGTCACAAACCCTTCAAACAAAAGATATCCACTAAATGTTCCCACTTATGTGAGAAATTTCGAAGCGTAGATGCCATTGCATGAGGTCCATCTTTGAACCCTTGAAATTTCCAGTAATGAACGTTCAATTAATTCAGAAGTCGAACGTTAGAAGAACGTTCCATTTTCTGGGAATTTCCATTCAGTTTTTTGAAAATCTGCCTTTGAGTGCATTGAATCTTATGACTAAAGCAGAGCTTTATTTTTAAAAAGTTAGTAAAGACATAGAAAGCTAGTATCTCCGTTAGAAGAATCGGAGGGCTATCTATCCATACTCTAACTAATTGTAAGTTTCTCTAAAACTAAAATCTTCCCATTTGAAAGAAAAATAACGAAGAGCGTTCTTGAAAGCAGAATCTTTTCTAAAGCTTAAAGAAAAAAAATTTGTTCACCGTTTTTCATCTTTTACGGTCTTGAAAGTGACGTTTGTCTTCGACAAAAACTGTAACATCATTGTAACATTCCCGACGTATCTTTGTTATCGAACTAAATCAACATAGTTCTCTTTCATTGCTCTGAGGGACACGTTCTGAGGGGTCTGATAGAGTACGTGAAATAACGGACAGTGGTAGATTGTAAAAGAGAAGTAAGAGGAAAGGGAGAAGAAAACCGAAGGGAGGAAGCGCTTATACCTCAAGAGGTATTCTCTTACTGAGCTTTTCTTCGAAGCGTAAGGTATATTACTGTTAGAAGGTAGCCGCGTTTCTTCGTCCGAAAGGATTTGCAACAACGTTGGGCTATGGGAAAAAGAGTGGGTGGAGAAGGGAGAAACCCTGAGAAACGACGAGGAATGGCGAGGACAGAATTACTTTCCCCCCTTTCACTCCCCTTTTCACTATCCCTTTACCGAGTCTTCGTCCGCTCGGAATTTCTCCTTCGGCCGTCTTACGAACGAAGACTTGCTTTCCCACCTCGGTGCTTTCGATATTCCCTTTGTTCGCACGCCTCCTTCTCTACCTCTCTTTTACCTTCCTTCCTTCCACTTGCATTAAGAACGCTCTACTCTGTCGTGTCTGGCGAGAGGAAAAACAATGGAGGGACGTTGAGAGTGATAAAAAAAAAAGATGGCAGCCCCTTCGTTAGCCTCTATCGTTTTCTCGAAATAAAAGGAATCTCTTAGCTTCTTTTTGAATTTTATAAATCAACGCTGGATTCAGTTTCCAAAGTTTCCAAGCCGCAGAAAAGTTCTTCATATATGTATATATATATATATATATATATATATATATATATATAGGTTCGTATATATTCATAGAGAGAAGTATGATAGTGAAATAAATCGAGTTGAGTCTGGTTGGTAATAAATACCTATAACTACATACTTATGAAAAGTTAAGCAAATTAACTTTTACGAATGAAAATTCGTTGCGTTTAGTTTGAACTTTCAAAAGGAAGGAAGGAAGATGAAGGTGGATGAGAAAAAACAAAAGAAAGAGGGAAAGAGAGAGAGAGAGAGAGAAAGAGAGTTTAAAGGAATCCATTCGTACCATCGATAGGGTATAAAACTTGACTAGATAGAGGAGTGCTCCGCGACGACATTTAGAAAATTTACCGGGACCGATATTTCTACTCTCGAGTCCACCCTTGTCCAAGAGATTTTCTGGTGTCAGCTCTCTTTCGTAAAGAAGGAGCCAAAGATTGGTGCGCCCTCCTTCCGAACTCGTTAAACTTTCAGAAAACCGGAAAGACTCAGTCCGATTTCGTCTATGTATAAATCACCAAATGGCTAACCAAGTGGCTAACCAAATGGAATAAGAAAGGAACATTCTTTCTCCTTTTTCTTTTCTTTTTTCTTTATTAGTATCGATGAACAATGTAACTTCGAAATTATTACGTTCTTTCTGTAAGGAGAAGAGGAATGACTCGGAAGAAAGAAAAGACATATATTATTGCAAAGGAAGATTCAGGATTGTCTCGTGTTTTATCTATCTTTAATCTCTGATCTATGTCCTGTAGAGAATATCAGTAGTAAATAACGTTATTTTCATCACATAAATTATCATTGGAGTAATACAATTATGACGAGAAATTCACAGAAAAAGGAAGATCGAAAGATCTTTGAGATTTTTCTTGGATCGTCGAAAATATTTTTCTTACATCATTGAATATATCTATCTTGGATTATATTCTCTCGAAAGAACACAACTGTATAGCTACTTGTTGCTTCCTCGAAATCTCTTTTTTTCAATTTATTCCTTCTTTTACTTTTTAATTCCGTTCTGCGGTCATTGACTCAAACATTGGCTTTTGACTTTACCAGCTTCCTGAAGGCGACATAAAAGGATATTCTAGGGGGACTGATTCCATGAACATGTTAATTATGCGCGTTTCGCCGGTCCGTTGTTCTTGTAAAAGAAACTGACCGGATAAGGCCCATCGCTCGATGCAAGTATTAGAGGCATGCAAGAAGTTACACATTAGAAAAGCACTCAAGATGCTTCGTGCCGATAAAGCGCGATTCCCGCATAATGCTTCACCTATACACATACCTATACCAAGCTTATCCGACAATGAGATAAAGTAGATTGGTAATGAGGATAGCCGTATAATCGAATCGTCCATTGCCTGACTTACTCTCTCTCTCTGTCTCTCTCTCTCTCTCTCTCTCTTTCTTTCTTTCTTTCTCTTTCTCTCTTTCTTCGAACATTACCAGAGTTATCTCGTTTTGAACGATCGCAAAGCGACTAGATCTTTATCGCGTACCTTTTTTTCTCCCCGACAATTGTCCCTTTCGCATGTGATAAGGTTAGATAAAAAGTATTTCTTAAAAAAACACTAATTGATTTTATTTATTTTAATAGATTAAATTAATTAATATAAATTAAATTAAAGAAAATCGGTCGATTGTTCAATTCTCTTCAGGAACGGTCACAGGCTGACGCATCGGAACAAAAAGCCATTCGAGTGCCAGGCCGAAGGCTGTGGAAAATCCTATTGCGATGCGAGGAGTCTAAGGAGGCACAGAGAGAATCATCATGCCGGTTGTAAGGGAAACGAAAGTGTCAATCCCAGTAGTCCGACGACGGGGCCTCACACACCAAACACACCCGGTTCTAATCCCAGCACTCCGAGTACGCCTGGCACTACCTCGACGTCGAATGGACACGGGCATACTGCTTTGAAACAACTCTTAGCCACCGAGCCAACGAACCAGCAACAAAAGGTACGTGTCCTTTATATATAACACGATCTCTCTTCTATTTTGTTTTCTCTCGACAGCTATATATAACGATTAACATTGAAACACAAAGATCCGAGAATGACTCGTATAAATAAATTTCTACGCAATAAACTTTTTCCGTTGGATTGATGCTTCGTTAGACGAAGAAACGATAGAACATTGTCTCGATTTAGATCGTCACTACTTATCTACGAACACGTAGACCTAGTTGCGATTTCCTCGGAATTGCTTCTCGATATTGCTTTCGCTCAGGATAGATTTAAGGATTTACTGAGAGAATCCAGCGTGGATCAATTCGTCAATGTGAAAGAGGATTAGGTGCCTTCTCGGGATCGTCGAGTAGTACGCATTAGGAGCCGGAAATAAGACGTTATCAATTTTGCGTGCATCGATCGTAAAGAGTGACGTATGTATCTCTAGCAAGCTCAATTAATCGGTCCACGTTTTATTCCACTGACAATGAAACATATGGAGCCCAAGTATCACGGTAAGAAAAGAGTCGTTAATTCTTTTTACAAGCTAAGGATAATAGGATTGGTAGTGTACAGATAATTGGAAACACACAACCGTTAATCCCTCGAGTAGAAATACTCGTGTTTTTCGAGCCGATTTGGAGGAGAACTCTAGGTATTCGCTTCCACCTTTGAACTCCGATTATTGGCGAAACCTGACTGCTTACTTATCGGACTTTACTGGCTAAAACGTAAGCAGCAAACTTGTACTATACCTAATTAAACTGCGAGCTATCGTCTGGCGATAAAAGAATGTACGAAAAAAACCGGACCGACAAGGAGGAGGAGGAGGAGGAGGAGGTGGAGGAGGAGGAGGAGGAGGAGGAGGAGGAGGAGGAGGAGGAGGAGGAGGAGGAGGAGGAGGAGGAGAAGGAGGAGGAGGAGGAGGAGAAGGAGGAGGAGGAGGAGGAGGAGGAGGAGGAGGAGGAGCAAAAGAAGAGAAGAGTAGTGGTAGGTATGCGAAGGTATGCCACTGGCAGTCCTCTTTGTCTTTCTCTCCTCCTTTTAGCCTTTCCATCTACCATCGGCCCTGCTGGAAATTTGTTCTTGGTTTCATGGAGCACGGAATTATCGCTGCTTTCAAAGTTGTGCACTTACACAGGGGGAGGGAAGGGAAAGATCGACGAGAAAGAAACTACGGTGAAGGGGTGCGAACGAGTGTGTGGAAGTAGATATAAGAGAATGGGACGACTGATGAGAGAGACAGAAAAAGAGAGAAAGAGAGAGAGAGAGAGAGAGAGAAAGAGAGAATAGTTAAACCGAGACTCGGAATCTACGATATTGAGTTAGAAGTAAGGCAGTATACTGAAGTGGGGTCTAATAAAATTTGATGACCGGGAACTTCGTAATGAAAATGAGACGCGAAAAGAGGAAAAGTTGATGGCGGGCGGGGTGGCGATGTAAGAGAGAAAGAAAGGAAAGCAGGGTAACGCGAACAAGAAACGACGCGACCGACTAGGAAAACTTTTCAGAAGCGGCCTTGATTTATGATATTTCATCGATCGCCGTGAACGCGCGCGTACCGTTCTTTCTTATCGTTGGTACGAACGGATGAACCCGATTTATAGCGTTCTTATACTTAGCGAAGAGAAAGGGGGATAGATCGATCTCTCGTTCGTTTCTATGATGAGACTAACGAGTCTACGTCCACAAGAGAATCGATCGGAGGCCGGAGATAGCAAGGAACTATTAATTAAAAATGTCTTTGAGACGATATGTGACGCAGAAGAATATTATGATCGTTCGGCGAAGTTCATTCATAAGAAAGGAAAGTATTCATTATTATAATTCCTCTCACCTTTGTTCAGAAAGACGATCCTACTTAGGAAAAGGAGAAAGCCCCATGCTAATCTGATTAAATGAATCCTATTGTCTCTCGCTTTAAACGAGTACGCCGTCCTGCAATTACATTTCGAGCTCGTTTCATTCGGCCGAATATGTACGAATTGTTTCAGGAAACGGTTCCTCTCTACTCCGTAATATTTCGACAATTCTTGATCCCACATCGTCTTTCAATTTTCTTAGAAGATTATACTAAATATCGAATTTGCCGTGAGAAAACAGAAATAAAAAAATAAAGTTTTAAGTAACATTAGAGAAAAAGGAAAGAAAGAAAAAGAGAGAGAGAGAGAGAGAGAGAGAGAGAGAGAGAGAGAGAGACAGATAGATAGACAGGGACAGAGCAGTGAGAAAGAAGAAGAGAATCAACGATATGTTCGGTCGATTGACAGGTACAATTTTCTCGACGTGTCAAAATGCAAATTTCTAAGACGAAGGGTGCGAAAAAACTTTAGCGTCGAATTCAAAATCGTAAAGAGGGAAGGATGGAATCAGAATAAAGAACGGGAAGGTGTCAAACATTCTCCGTTGACGGGATTTTCTCAGATGGTCCGTTAAAGAAGAGTAGACGGCGAGGAGAAGGAATAGGCGAGTAAAAAAAAGTGATTCGACATCAAAAGATGTGTCTCCCAGATCCGAACCGAGTTCGAATCGTGCTATAAGAAGTTGCATCTGTAAGTTATGATTATCACCTTGGAAAATCACTGTTTTTGTCATACAACCGTATGGGATCTTAGACGAAGAAAAATTTTCATAATGTTTCCTCTCATAAGATAGTTCCTTCTCAGGCATCTTACTACGAAAAATTCAATTTTTTCTTTTTTTCCTTTTTTCTCAATTGCGCTTTAAATGCTCGAATAAAGAAACGAATATTCGTACGTTTATTAGAATTTGCGAACTCATTTTGATATAGAGATCTTTGAAAAGAAAAAGAGAAAGAAAGAGTATGCAAATATATACATATACCTACAAGTGAGAAAGAGAGAAAGAGAAAGAGAGAGAGAGAGACAACAATGTAATCATTGTCAATGCATCCACCGAGTGCACTTCTCTTATGTAATTCTAAGCAATCGTAATTGCTGTTTCAAAGAGGCATTCGAAGTGCACTGGAATTATCTTCTTACCACTGTAAGATTGAAAGTTAGATCAAAAGGATCCTAAGGATGGAACGCAAATCTAACTTTAAAAAGTTTTATGACATGGTTCTTACAAATTTTTCTAACGATTAACGAATATATGTTTAAAAAAATTGACGCAAAATTGACCTTGATCTTGAAATCCAAAGTTAAATATTTGTTTTTTATTGAGATTTACTACTTGTTGCAAGAATGAAAAGTGTAAAAGGAACCGTATGCTGCAATCAAATCATTATTTTAAAAAACAATATATAAGTTTTTTGCGTTTCTTTTTTTATCTTGAATTTCTTTTACTTGCGTACATTCTCGTTCGCTTGTATTTACTAACTTGAATTAATCATATACATGTCGTATGTTTGTGTACTCGTGCACATTTACGATCTCATAAACGTATGTGTATATATACTTGCACGTCTCTTTGCCTTCGAAGAATCTTGATCGAGATCAAAAAGAGTCTCTGGATGGAATTCCGATCCTCTAGGAATATTTTCAACTTTGCAAATTACGTTCGACTTGGTTCGAAGTTTAGGAATGTTTTTTTTTCTCTTCATCTTTCTTTCTTTCTCCTCGTTTTTCATTCGAACTATCGTTCACTGGAATATGACAGACAAATATATCGACGAATCAAAATCGAGTATTTAAGAACTAGTCAAGTATTCAAGCTTAATTATTAAAAATTTTTTTCTTTTGTCTCTTATATCTCTTATCAAACTCGTCGATATCTTTTATTCTCAATTACGAAAGCACAGATCGGTGTTCGTGTAGATCGATTAAGCAAGATGGAAGAAAAATGGAACGGGACAACTGGGAGTTGTCTCATTCAACGAGATAACGGAAGGTTTCTTCGATCGATCTAATTAGATCAAGCCCTTTAATTCGTCTCACGATTCCGAATCTTCGAGGTTTCGCTTCGATGTTGTTAATCCGTGAACAAACGAAAGAATTCTAGTAACGAAAGGTTGCTCGTTACTTTGTCTTTATCTTGTTTAGACTATTGCGCCGGAAGTATCCGTCTGGAAGTTCTTCATTTCGAAAGTAACTCGAAACTTTTTGAATTACGATAAACGAGCCAAGTAGAGTAAAAAAGTTCCTGCGATCTTTCGAAATGAAATCCTTCTTTTCAAGAATTTCACGGCACCAAATTTTATATCCGGAAATTCCTCAGAGATGAGTAATTTCGGAATCTCATTTGTGTTTTAACTCATTTGGAATATCGGGAGGATCACGCATACTCGAATTCAGTCGGAAAGCATTATACAGAACGAGATGAATGATTTCTTTGAATCGTATAATTGTGTTTCCACCGAGTACGCTAACGATTAATCCTTCGCCTCGAATTTCATCCAATTTTCCAAGCGAAATTGCCAAGCGACTGCAACTTCGTTTTCGTTTGACCAAGAATATATCGTGTTCTGTTCTATTCCTATACCGCGATCTTAACGAGTATTACCGCGTAATGATCTCTTTTAAGAATTCTACTGGAAACGGCAGATCCGTATTTTTATTCGACTATGGTGTATATAAACGAAGGATCATTACTGTAATCGTCAAAACGTGGAAAGAAAAATATGCCTCATTTCGATTTGACGGTGTAAAGACCAGAAAGCTTTATAAATAGATTCATTTATCACAAACGAGAATCTACGTTAAATAGTTGGAAGAAAAAATTCCAACTGGACGATCCTCCTTTGCGTTTTCGTATTCGTTTATAAAAGACCAACAATGTTCCTAGTATTTGTAAAACGACTGTTATTAGAGATAATCCTCTTTATTTAATCCACCTTATATTACGGCGAAACGTGTATTAATCTTAAAAAGGATATAGGGAACAAATTTGTGGAATTATACGAAAAGAAAATCGAGTTTCTCTATAAATTCCTTCGTATTGAAGAACACGAGCTATAAGCATCGAAGCGTAGAAGTTGCAGAATTCCACGAATCACCGGCTGAGAACGGAAATTGACGTCCACTCCCGTAGGGGCTTTACAACGAAATG